GCGGCGCCAGACAGGCAGAGACAGAGAACGAGAAATCACCCCCCAGGGGGTATGGCCATGCCGCAATCCCTTCTCCTCCGTTCTCCTCTTGGGATCTTGGGCCTGCAAGCACACGCACCCGGCGTGAGTTTTAAGCCACCGGGTCCGGGAGGCGAACCACAGTCGACTACGTGGGAGTCCAGCGACATAGCCATTACGCTAACTGCTGGTCCCTCAATCCCATTATTTCATGAAATTTTTGAAGTGCCCTCTTGTGTGCCGAGTGCCTGCTCCATGCCCGCCCGCTGGGTACATGGCTGTCCGGGGCCTCTATCACTGAATCTGGGTTGGGGTCTGACTCCATGGCTCACCGTTGACCTTGACCCCCACTCCTCACCCCTGCAGCCGACCTCCTCCTGGAGCCTTGCTCCCATTACCGCTTCCTGACCAACGGGCCGTCGTCCTCCCCGGGCCAGGAGCGGGAGCTCTTCCAGGAGACGCTGGAGTCCCTGCGGGTCCTGGGATTCACCCACGAGGAGATCACCTGTGAGTGAGGCCCAGCCCTCTCGGCCAGGGCAGGGGCTGGGGTGGTGCCCAGGGGCCTGGCCATCCCTGTTTCAGTTTACCCACTCAAGCACCTTCTGAACACCTGCTGGGTGTGGGCACTAGGGCCACAGCAGGCGTGAGACAGACAGATGTCCGAGAACCACAGTCCCGGTGAATAGGGATTACGGAGGCTGTTAGGAGGTGATGCGTGCTGTGGAGAAGAGTGCAGCCAGGGGTGGGGACGGAGCGAGGGAGGTGCGCCGGAATGGGGGACTGGGGGACAGGGGGGACGGAGGAAGGAGGGAGGAGGGAGGTGGAGGGAGGTGCAACTGACTGACAGGGATGGGACGGAGGTGCACCAGGATGCGGGGAAGGGGGGAGGAGCACCAGACCGGATGGAGGGAGGAAGATGCACCAGGACAGGGTGGAGGGGGGACGGAGGGAGGGAGGTACACCGGGATGGGGTGTTTGAGCAAAGACCTGGGGAAGAGAAGGAAGGGAGATCACCCCAGGCAGAGGGAACAGCCTGTGAGAGCCGTGAGGCAGGAAAGGTGTGGCCCATCTCAGGGACTGGAACTTCTAGAGATGGAGCTGTGGAGGCCACAGAGCCTCAGACACCAACCAGGGGGCTAGGGCATTGTCCTGGGGCTCTGGGGAGCCATGGCTGGGAGTAGGGGCTGGACAAGGTCATCTCTGGAGGCCAAAAGACCCCCAAAGGGGCTGGGGAAGAGATACTGGAGTGGGGGAGGCTGGAGGCCAGAAGGAGGCTGGGAAGGGTCCCTGCGAGACCCAGAGCCTGGTCCTGGGTCTGCTCTGGTTGGTCCAGGCTGGGTGCTCCGGTGCTAGATACCTGGCCTGTTCGCCGGGTTAGGCTGCTCTGCCCCACCTTCGTCACCGCACCATGTCCTGAGAACCTGAGAACCACTCTGTTCTGCTGCGCTGGTTTTCTCTGGCCCTCTAACCCAACCAGAAACCCAGTGCCCTGAACAGCAGGTATTCATTGTCTCGGGGTTCTGGAAGCCAGAAGTCTAGGCCGGCTCATTCTGGGGGATCTATCCGACGCCTCTCCCCTGGTTCCTGGGGGTCTCCTGGCTTATCATGTTAGGGATGGAGCAGGGTGGGGGGTGCGTAGTGTGGAGGCTGGGGGTTCTCTGGGTGAGGCCTCTAAGGTAGAGACCTGCCCTGAGGTGTAGAATGAAGCTGCAAACTTGAGTAAAAGTGGGAAAAGAGAAGTTTCTAATAGAAATGGGAAGATTCTAACAGGAAAATACGCCCACGCCAAAGGTGGCGGGTAGGACGACTGCACGGGGAATGGGGTGGGGCGCCGCCTTCACTGGGGCTGGTCCTGAGCGTCAGCCCGGAGGTGGCCCTGGGGCCGGTCTTCCGTTTGAGTTGGTGGGCTTTTGCTCCTGCGTTCTTCTCACCAGGAACGGGGATCTTACTGCCTGGTCGGGTCGATCCGTGTGCCCAGTGTGGGTGCTGGAGGAATGCGCCTGCGCACAGGGATGGTTCTGCCACGTCGGTTTATCGCCGAGTGGGAGGTTATGGGGACCAAGTGTGTGGACAATTCCTGTGTGTGCCTGTGGAACAGCGGGAGGTCTAGGTCTTTTGAAAGAAAGTTCAAGCAAGAAGGGGGACCATCAGGTGGCATCGTGGTTAAAGCACTGGGCTCCCATGTGGCTGACCATGGTTCAAGTCCTGGACCTGGAGGCTTGCTTTTCTACCTTCCTTTTTTTCTCTCTCTCTGTCTCTCTCTGGTCAAATTAAACAAATAATAATGATGACAATAAATGAAATGAAATAATTTTTTTTTGAGAGATTTTCACTGTAGGGCGCGTGCGCTCGCCAGACAGACAGAGAGAGACATAGAGACAGAAAGCGAGAAATCACCCCCCAGGGGGGATGGTCACGCCGCAATCCCTTCTCCTCCATTCTCCTCTCGGGATCTTGGGCACGCACGCACACGCGCCCGGCGTGAGTTTTAAGCCACCGGGTCCTCCCTCTCTAGGCTTATTGACACAGAGTCTTGGTCCTCCCTGCCACCTCCTGCAGGGTGGCCATGCCTCAATTCCTTCTCCATTCTCTCAGGATTTAGGGCATTCATGCACATGCATCTGGTATGTTTCTTAAGCGGCTGGGTTGGGGACTCAAACTGTGAAGTCAGGTCGGTCATGCAGAATCCTGTTGCCTTAACCATCACGTCATCTGCTGGCCCGAGACATCAGTCTTTTTCAAGGCCTCGTAGTGTTTTGTTTTCTGGATGAACTATGATTTTAAAAAAGTTTTTTTTAAGAATTATTTTATTTGGGAACCAGCAGTTAGCATAGTGGCTGTGTTGCTGGATTCCCACATAGTCGACCACGGTTCGCGTCCCGGACCCGGTGGCTTAAACTCATGCTGGGCGCGTGTGCGTGTGTGCCCAAGATCCCGAGAGGAGAATGGAGGAGAAGGAATTGTGGTGTGGCCACCCCTATGGGGGGTGATTTCTTGCTTTCTGACTCTATGTCTCTTTCTGTTTGTCTGGCGAGCGCACACACCCTATAGCGAAAACCTCTCCAAAAAAAAAAGA